TAGGGGCATAAATAATGAAGTTCTACTACTATTAATGAAGTGGATAACATAGGGCATAACAAAACAAACTTATTTGGAATACATGCCCTTTGTCTAGAACAGGATGAAAGTTTTAAAGAAGACGTTTATATGATATGATATATGTTTTCTTAACAAATATCTAATTTTGTTTAGTAAATTTAATAAATAATGGAGGAGCTCTTTTAGGTCCTTAGCAATTTTGTATAAATTCATTGTGAAAGGTTAGTAAATAAACCAAAGTATAGTACAAACTGTCAAAGCAAATAATATGACTTGTATGTAGTGTATTTTCAAAATAAGTATAAATAACAGTGAATTTATTAAAGAAAAAATGTTTGCATAAAAATGGCTTTCCTTTTAAGAGATCCTACAGCTTCTTAAAGTTTCAAAAAAAATGAAAAAGCGGATATAATTTGAAAACCAAAAGAAGTACAAACGTTGAATTTTACATAAATCTGCATGCTAATACCTACTGGTGCGTCATTTCAACCATTTTCGAAAATTTCTGCCCATTGGAAGGGATAAGCATCCACTTAGCTATTTTATCCTACCTTTATATATACCACTAAATATATTCAGTATTTAGAATAAAATATTATCTACCTGCATTAAATTATTATCTATTAACTAACCTGTAAGTTCGTTGAACTACTTACTTAACCGTGAACTTTTTTCGTTTTAGTTGGACTGTAAATAGTTTAAATTAAATGAACGATAAGTAAATCTTTGACAGGTCAAGATTGTGTAATACTGAGTTGTATTGATGGCAAATATTAAATAAATTATTGTTACTGTTACAAATGCGCTCAAAAAAAATAACAACATACCTACTTTTAATTTTAATATGACCTTTCACCAGTTACCAGCAAAACTATTTAATTGGTTAACACGAAGCGAACCTATTTAACTTTAATATTAATTGGTTTGATGTGGTCATATTTAATAATATCTCGCACCATCCTGTGCGTTACTTTCCATGCAAAAATACTTTTGACTTATTAAATGAGCAATCCTCAAATCCAGAATATGTATCTATTGACAAAGATAATTTCTATTGCAAAATACAATTTAATATGCAAGTGTAACTTTTTTAATTATGGCTATGTTACAATTAAAAATATCAAACAGATTTTGAAACAAATTGTATTTATCATACATTTAAAAAAGAGGATAATATTTTTGAATATCAATTCGGATACAGGTGGATAAAACAATGAAGAAAAACGAGACGATAATATACGTATGTGAAAATTTAACAATGAATTGAATAGCTAATACTAATAATAATAACTAAATAATTATTGAATTAATAACAATGAATGTTATATAATAACTTATATAAAAATATTAATTGTGCAATCGTTCTACGTTCCTCTAAACTACAAAATAAAAATTTATTTAAAAGATCACATTGAGGCTTATCAATCGCAATCGGTGGATAATTGCTATCCTCTAAAAGCTACAGCCTTTAAGAAACGTCTCTGAACTCTTTCATGATTAGTTATATAAATTTTTAATTAATTTGCTGGGAAATAGGTCATAATTAAACAATTTGTTGTAAAACTAATTTTTCATCGTTTTGCATTACGATCGTTTCGGGATTATTAATTAAACAAATATTGCAAATTTTTACATTTATCCATTAATTTCTAAAATTAGATTTAAGTTTAACTACCTGTACATCGTCTATATATTTATAAAAAAAAACGTTACTATTTCTTTTGAACATTCCTCGTCTCGATTTGGCTTGGTCTTAACAGATAATTTCACGTTTCAATTCGCTTTCTGACGGTATTAATTCCTATGAACTGTTTTAACAATGAGAGAAAATAAGAAAATGTAGTTATTTTGTTATTTCACATTATATTGTTAATAGGAAAGGATGTAAATGACAAATGATAATTTTTAATGACCAATTGTAAGTTTTTAAAATGTTTTTAATGTGTATTGTCTTAACTTGGTTTTTTAAAATATTTTTAGATTTAAATTTTTACTTGAAGAAAAATTTTATAATTCCATGGTTATTATTGTTTGGTGGTGAGAGATAGGAAAAATAATCCCCAAACGATCGTAATAAAAAACATTTAAAAATTTGTTTTACAACAAATTGTTTAATTTATGACCTATTAATTATTATAAATAACTTTATATAAGAATTATTAGTTATGTAAATATTAGTAGGGTGTTGGGTGACCATACAACTCTACATACTCTAATTTAGACCTAACAAAAGCTGAATATAGTAATTAAAAAGTAGAGAAATTATTAAAATCCTTAGACCAACGTAGTACAAAACCAAGTATTTTAAAGCTAAGTACATAACACTTTTTAATACTAAGCTGTAAGTTATTAACATACCACCACCATAAAACAATTTTATTTAAAACACATTGCAAATAAGCACTCATTTCCTCTATTTATACTAGTATAGAGCTCATGTCATCAGCATATAATAAACAATTAACATCATTTAGTTATATAATGTCAAAATAAGCACATGAACACAGATTTATTACGTTGTCATATATTAATTTTCAATTTCTACATCTCTTTTATTTTTCACCTATATTATTTCATGTCAAAATTAAATATAAATCTGTCTTACAAATTAATTGTTTCATTTTAACCTTTACCGTTATATTTTATATTTTTATACTTTATTAATGTATTTCCTTATAACAGCAATAACAAAAATATTACAGATAAAAATGTAGTTAATTTTTGCCATATTCTCTTAAGAACAGAATAATATGTTGTAATGATATGTAAAATTGTGTGTATTTTAGTATTAAAATAACATAAATTAACAGTAGGTAATAGAAGATATTCGTAAAAATAAACAATACAGTCTTGTAGAAAATAACTGGCAGCAATATATTGAAATAATATCAAATATTATGTATGTATGTCTATTATGTCTAAATATATGACATTTACATAAAGTTTGGGGTTTTAGAGATTTTACACTTATTAAAAGTTATCACTAATGCTACTTATGCTAGACGGTATTCAAATCTGGTACTAGTTTACAATAAACGGAAATGATAAACTAACGTTTCTCTCGGTGTAGAACAGAAAGTGGATGTAACTGTATTTTCTAGAATGTGGGAATATGTCAGTATTACACGCGTATTTTTAGATTAAGACTTAACTATGCAGAGAGGCCGTGCTCACTTTTTATACAACTAGATGAAAAATGTGATGTTTGACAACAAGATTTATTAAACTGGAATAGTAGTAGGTAGTTAAGTAGAAAAAAAAATAAAGTTAACTCAACATTTGTATTGAATTCAATTGAATTATTTTGGTATCTTGTAAGGATATTCGAAATATGTATAAAACCATTTAAAATAAATAATTTGCATCAATTGAGTTAATTAACTAATAATATTTAAACAATCGGTCAAAATATTCTTTTAACCTTATAAGCACAGATATTTAAGAGCAATAGTCTGATCAGAATTGCCGAAATTCTATGTCTAACAGTTTACGCCAACAGCCGAATGGCGAATTAACAAACTAATCTAACTTTGCGCCGATAAGATTTGCTTATCAATTACACTATCATCGTAATACGCGCAATACCTCGCAGAAATGTACCCGAGAATTATAAAACAAACTTCCCCAAGCAAATACAGCTTAAAATCCTCCACGCCGTTTTATCCTGTTCACCGCTACATCCTTTCGGCGGTGTATCACGTAAGGATAATAGCCACATCGCGGCACCGCGTTGCCAAATACAAAACATATGACAGTCCGTCCACAGCACGCTGCAACCTATCTCACTCCATACGTGACGCCTGCGTCGAGCGTTCTGTGGCCGAAAAACCGCGTTGGGATTCCGTCCCTTTCTAATTGCAGTTAATTGGCATAAGTCTCTCCTTTGCCGGTGCTAGGCCCAGCCCGCTCTGACCACAAACAAGATGGGTCTCTCTTACACTCTATCTGCTCTCTATCAGACGTGTACCCCTTTATGTTAGCTTCTGTTTTAATCTAGCCGTCTGCCCTCTCTTTCTAACCTGTTTCGGGGGTGTACAGTGCTCCCCTGATAAGTAAAGGGTTATCAAACGCGCGCTAGCTACTGCTTTAACAGACAACACTTCTGTAGCTTGTCTTCCTCTAACTGTTGGACCCCGTGAGTATTTTTGGATGCAACGTAAATGCCGCTCGGTTTTTGTTAGTTAATCAACAACATACCGGCTAAATCTTTAGTTTTGGTTTAAATGTCGGCGAGAGAAATAGACACAGCGGTATCGGCGTACAGCAATCTTAATAACACATGTTCCCCGCACCGGAGGGCTTAGTTTGGCCTCATTTGTGATTTAATACGAGGACGGGAGCACTCCGCCAAAAAACCCACCGCGGTACGTCGGCTGAACATCATCAGGTGAAACGGGGATTAAAAAGTTGCACACCTGATCAAGTGGCTCTAATATGTGAGTGCGTTTTACCGATTCCCCACCCCTATAAAAAGTTTTCATTCAGAAAAAGTGTTGACATGTGTTGCTAGGCAACCGACGGAGCGTGTGGATCGGGATTTTTTGACTGACATGTGGAATTAATCGTCGCATGTGTATGATTCCAGTAATGTTACATTTTGGTGCTAAATATAATGAGTTAACCGTTCTCTATTTTATCAAAGTGTATTCACGCTTTTTCCTTCAATATGATGTATAAAAATACTTGGTGTACTTTAAAAATATTCCACGAAATGCATAAATTGTTGATGATCTAAAAACAAGTAATAAATATTAAACTAGTAGCTAGAAAACTAATACATCAATTATAATTATCTAAGATTAAATAAACACAAACAAGCTTTAAAACTGTAAAAAAACCTAGTGACGCCATCATGATCTCAAGATCTAAAATAAAATGTATCAGGATTTAAAGTAATGCTGTAAGTATTAGTATGGAAGAGGCTTTAAAAACAAATCATTGATATCCTTATCAACTCCCTCAAAATTAAATGGTTGTTCATGTTTGGTGATTGGGTACCGACAACGATGCACCTTACCAACACACCCTCAGGTGCCACCGGTACCGCTTCCTCCCCAGAGGGTACCACCAGCTTGATCCAAGACACCTACACCAAAATGACCTCCGACATCCTCGCGGAAAGGACACTCAATGACTTCCTAAGTGAACATCCTGGTGAATTAATTAGGACTGGGAGCCCCCTTTTTGTGTGCACGGTTTTACCTCCACATTGGAGGTCCAACAAGACCCTTCCCGTGGCTTTTAAGGTGGTCGCACTGGGGGACATCGGGGATGGGACTGTAGTGACTGTTAGGGCGGGAAACGATGAAAATTATTGTGCGGAGTTGAGGAACTGTACGGCTGTTATGAAAAACCAAGTAGCTAAATTTAATGACCTTAGGTTCGTGGGAAGAAGCGGAAGAGGTAAGCGATTTTTTAATTAGCCAATTTTTGAAATGTATTGTTAAATATTTTGAGAATGTTTTGTTGGTTCAAACAGTCATATTATTACTGAAAAGTTAAAGTGTATCAAGAAATAATTATTAGAACCCATTTTCCCAAAAAATAAGACAATATTTTAGATAAGTAATAAAACCAATTGTTAACAGGGTTCTGCAGGAAATGATGTAGTTGTATTAATAAATAAAGGAATTGTTTGGAAAGAACTACGAAGATATTACCTTGTTACATAGCCACTTTACTTTAAGAAGTTCACAAAACTATAAGTTCTGCATATTTGAACCTCAATTTAGTTAAAATTGTAAAAAAATATTGACAGTAGTTGAAGGGATTCCATATCTCTGCTGAATAAGAGGAATAATAGAAATGAACAAAATAAAATTGAATTTCACATAAGAAAGGAACAATTTGAACAAAAATTATCATGTGATGAACTTACCATTACTATTATTACTATTACTACCCTTTATTTATTATACAATTAAATAGTCTTGATCCATAATCACTGTTTTTAACGATGACGTTAAAACTGAGATAAAACGTTTTATTGAACGTACAATAATTGGAAATTTCAAATTTTTAGACAGTTTGAAAACTTGTTAAGCAAACGATCATTTTTCTTCCACTGTGTTTTTAGCTTATCAAATTACTAAAGTGAAGAACTAGCGCTACTGGTGTAAATTTAGGTTGAAAATAATAATATTTGTATATTTCTAGCTCATTAGGTATCTTGTTTTACATTTGTTACTATTGCACCTTGCTCAAATATGGATACTTGTTTGTATTAACTCACGCATACGATCTAGATTGGTATGTCTTCATAAAATTGTTTAAAGTAGGTTCCATTACATTCCCTAATAATAATTCTTCTTTTACGTTGATAATAAATCTGGTATTAATCGTCTTAGTTTAGTTCCATCGCCATGAGAGGCCATTATAATTTTTTTGTTAATGTCTTTTATTTTGATCAATTGAGTTTGATGTATACTTATTTCAGTTGAATTTTAATATAATATTAATTTCTTGGTGTGAGGTGATTTTCTTCAATAAAAGCCACCCTAATTTGAAAATAAATTAGAAATGATTTGATACAAGTTACATATTCCAAACAGGGGTACTTTTTGTGTTATGAAATTAATTGGTAGTGTCCATATTTAGATTAACTATAAAATGCAGCTACTTCGTGACCACTGGTATTACTTCGTGATGGTGAATACTTAAAAGACAAATGATATCTGGTAGTTTTATTTTAAAACTTAATTAATTCTGTCTAATGACTGTTATATTAGATAATTTATTTCTGTATTTTATTTGCAATTAGTTTTGCACAGTTTCTCTGGGTGGTAGACAAAAGAAACGATCTTGGATCCTATTCAAAGACCTTTAGGTACCTAAACATTGTTCTATAATCTCTTGGCATCTTTGGTTTTGTATTATTTACATTTTATGTTTTTTGGACGTAAATTTAAAAATTATAACGAAATTGAAAAAACGAAGGAATTACTTTGTAACACAAAACAAAGTCTCCTGAAATAATTGATGTTCCAATAAGAAACAGCATCTTTAATTAAATCACTTGAAAACTACTACCAATTTTTGATGTTCCAGGCAATAATTATCATATTTTTACTTGTACCTTAAAAAATGCCTTTCTAATTTCCATATTTCATTGTATTTTTTGTTAGTTACCCTTTTTTGTATTTTGAATTCAAAATTGATGCAGAGGTATTTCTTTGTGACATTATTGCAATGTGCTAGAGTTTTCATAGAGAAAAATCGGTATCAATACCAAGGCAACTAACCAAATTAACAATAGATAGTTTTATATTTAACAAGTTATTAAAGTCTTTACTAGTTTTAAGAATTAATACCGATATTGATGGAAGTCGATAGATAGAAGGGATAACGGAATAAATAGGTACAGACACAACTAGATAAATTAGACACAATCTATAAAATTATCTAATAAATCCTAATACAAACTTTGCAATGCGCTATTAAAAAGAAAGAAAAAAAATAATAGATGACATGTGTTGTTAACAAGCATTAATTTTTTTATAGTGCAAATGTAACACTCTCTGTTCCTTTTAAGACGAATTCTTCCATTTCTAGGGTAATATCAATAATACATAAAAGTGTTTCAAGTAAAAAAATCAAAATAGGTACAATAATGTATTGTTTATTATACAATAATGTATTGTTTTCATTGTACCTAATTTCATTTTTTCAAATTGAAACAATGGACATGTTAAATTTGAAGCCTACTTTGATGAGCAGGATAAACGTACCGTGTAGGTGTTACTTGACGTTTTTAAAATAATAACATTTTTACCATCCTCGAAAATATTTCCGAAACATAACATGATAACAAGACGGGGTCCTCACCATTTCTTTAAGCATGGGAAAACATTCACAGTGTGGAAGACTTACTTTGAGAAAATAGTAATTGCGTTCTAAGTTTTCAATTATGGTTCTTTTCATTTTTTAAATGAAATCCTATAGGTATTAAATTTCATATAGACAAATTGCAAAATTTAATTTAATTTTATTTTTATTAAGTTATGTTGGGATTTAGTTCTTAATAAAATTTGCGAAATATTCGTAGTTGTTTTTAATTTCTTTTGCGGCTATGTTCACAATAATTTAATGTAAAAGTAACCCTAATAAAAGAAAAATAGTTACATGAATCTGCAAATTAGTGTCTTTATGAAAAATGTCTTAACTTATACGAAAATATAAGCATATTAATTCAGAACGTGACTTTAAAAATGAAGATTGTAATAACATTATGAAAAGTTATTAGATAAATTAATTCTAACATAGACTACTAATTTTTATCGAATACTTAATTGTAATATAGAAACTATTTATAAAATTACATGAGCGGAGATAAGGGTTGAAATAGCTAAACTATGGGGCTGTCTTGAAGATAAATATCTTTCGTATTTGAATATCCTGGAGACTTTAATGCTGGGATGTAAGAAACGGGGTAAAGGAGATGAAAATGCGTAAAAGGAAACTTCCTTGGGTTGACGCATGACTAAAAAGGCGGGATATTGTGCGGCGGAAAACCAACAGTGTTACGGAAAACTGTCAACAGATTATAAAAGTTAATCCGCCGTAAAATAAACTGTTTGTCTAACCCTTTTCATTTCTCATCACCGCTGAACTGACTCCGAACTGATAGGATTTAATTTAAAAATAAAGTTTGAATTGGGATTAGCGTTGAAAAACATTTGCTTTTTATTCCGCTCTTCTGTTTATGTTTCGGTTTTCGGGATTTCAAAGAGAATCCAGAATTGTCTCGAATCACAACTGGGGAAAGTTTAATATTGTTTTGTAAATTGAATTTGTTTTTTCGTTTGTGCAATCAGTTATAACTGGTCTATTGCAGGGCTTTTTCATCGCGTTGTCATTTACACTGAAATTTAGACAACTTTAGTTATCCGTTCAACTTTTATGACAAAACATATTTATTTAGTTGACGATTCACTTAAAATATTCCAATACTCGGCTGGATATGTGCATTGGTTTTACAACTACCTACAACTTAATATTTCCCACTCCAGCTTCAATGTTATTCTTAGAGTTCGCATACGACTGAAATTAAGAAGCCAAGAATTTAGTCATCAAGTCGTTTAAAATTGGTATTTTTCCGCAAAATTTAAAAAAATAATAATTTCCCTATTTAAAAAAAATCATCCAACATTAACGGAAACCCGTTGGCGTTCCGTATGGGTTCTCCAGAATATTTGAATATATATTTTTAGAACACTTTTTACCATTTATTAATAAATTTAAAATTTTATGTAGAAACCAACATGGCTTTTGTGAGAATAGATCGACGTCATCTGCAATGTTATTTATATCTTTATAATTAAATCATTGAATTTGTTGAAGCCGGCGATTGTCCAGCAGTTATATTTTGTGATTTGAGCAGAGCCTTTGACTGCGTAAATCATAATTTATTACTATCTTTTTTGGAAAAATATGACATAAGAGGAACTGTACTTAACTGGTTATCAACATTACTTCGGAGTCGTCAACAGTATGTGTCTTTAAAGGTCGAATCCAAACAATCTATAGATTTTATGCAATCCGGTTATTTAAATTCGGATGTAGGTGTACCTCAAGGCTCAATAATAGGACCTGTTTTATTCATTTTATATGTCAACAATATATCAAGTGTCACAAAACATATCGCCTATATACAGCCTATGCTGATGACTTTTCAATGGTTTTATCGTCAAGGGATTGAGATGCATTGAGTAGTAGAACCGCAGAGGCAGTGGAGAGAGTCTCACAGTACTTTAACAATATCGATGTGTTTTTTAACGAGGACAAAACTGATATTTTAAGAATACATAATTATCAAAGAACTATCGAATACATATTAAAGTAAATAATAAAATTGTAACTAATGCACATGACGGTAAGTTTTCTAGGTGTTTATTTGGATGAATTCCTGAAATTTAAATTACATTGTGATATACTTATTTCGAAAATGAATTCTCTAAAGTTTCTTTTCTTAAATTTGCAAACGGTGCTGAACCTTTCCCAGCCTGTACACGTTTACTATATACCCAAGTAGATTCAAGCCTTAGATACGGAATTTGTTTATGGGGTAATTCGACTAATGCAGTTGCATATTAAAAATCTCAGACAGAGAGTCATGTAAACAATATTTTAAGGAATTAAATATTTTTATCCCTTCCCTATTTGTTTATATACGCATTATGTGTTTATGGATGTATATAGAGATAAGAAAAGCATTGACATTAACAAAGATAAGTACAATTATAACACGAGACATGCTATGCTGATGATCTTAGAGTGCCGTTTTCCAAACTAATACTAGCCCTGAATACTCCTTGCTGCTTGGGTCCAAAATATTTTAATCGTTTACCAAACGATGTTAAATACTCTTTATCTGTAAATATTTTTAACTGAAAGTTAAAGCTCGA